AACGAATTGCAACATTATTAAAATTTAAGTTGCAACAGGTGACAAATAAGCGTCACAATGTTGCAACGCCATCTTTAACAAACACGCTATGATGAACTTCTTGCTAAAGGCTAGTAGAAGAATAGGCGAATTATTTTTCTAATATACTCTTCATATTCGCTATATTTTTTACGTTTCTTTCAACTATCTTCTCATGTGACATGCATAATTCCTCTTTGTTTATATCTGAGCTTTCTAAATTCACAGAGATTGGTTGAATTGATCCTAAAGGGAGCATCTGAGTAACGGGTGATTCAGAAATATGAATGGTCTTGAACCTGGATTTTTCTTTCAGCTTAGTCGCTCCAGTCTTTTTTTTCTTGCTATCAGTCCACTGAGGCTAGATGCCTTTGGGAGCATATCAGCTAATACATATTCACCACTCTGTTGCAGACGTTCACTATTATCCCATATATCAGAAATACAATTTTTATTGATATGGTAGTCTCTTACTATCATATACGCGGGAACCTTACTTTTAAGGCATCTGATTTCTTCGACCTGCTCCAGTGTTAAAACACTGGCACCTCGTCGATAATGAGTTTTTAAAAATTGGGTAGGCATTAATCCTCCAGTATTTTTAGCAATATTTTAGAACGATAAAAAATGATAAAAAACATTATTTATTGTTTTAGAATGACAAAGAACGATAAAAAACATTATTTATTGTTTTAGAATAGTAAAGAACGATAAAAAGTGATATTTATTATTGGAGAACGTTTGTTATTATATGGGAGAAGGCGAGCTAAATTATCGATTAATGTTTGAACAGAATTTTATTCGTGCATTTTTTTCCTTCTATGTAACTATGCTAAGATTATATCCAATGTGTATACACTGAAAGATATTAATAAAAGGGGATATCGGCTGGGTAGTACATATGAGCAAGAGCTTGAAAAAAAATAAAATCCGTTACTGAATTTAACTCTGAGATTAATGATCTCAGTGAAAAGCTGGTAGATAAATACAATGAGCGGAAAAAGGAGTATCAGCGAAGCTATAGTGATATTAGAAATAAGATTAGCCAGTTAAATGCATCCAGCGCTAAAGTTAGATCCTAACTTATTTCTGAACGGAAGTCTCATTCTGAGAGTCAACATGAGCTTGAAGCCAAAAATACTGCTGAAATCAAATCGCTCAAATTTTCTATTAAAACTCTGAAGAGAGAGGCGACCCTGGTCCAGAAAGCTTCGTCCGCTGATAATATCAAGATTCTTTCTCTTGAAGCTAAAGTATGTGAATTGGAAGGTAAGTTGAAGGACTTGAAATCAGATCTGATATTCCATGATTCAGATGTAATGGTAGGACTTTTAGAAGAGCTGGTCCAAATAAATTCATCTGATCCTAAAAAGATCGATTCTCTCAAGCTTGAATTGAAACGAGCAAATGAGGACCTTAGTTTAAAAGAATACACAATAGAATGTATGAAAAAAGGGATAGAGTCTTAAGAACGATTAAAATTGATGGAGGAAAATTCTCGTCTTCAAGAGATAATCTCAAAGAAAGATAATAAAATAGTAGATCTCTCTGTGAAGCGCCTTAACGGCAATACCCCATCTTCGCCTATAAATGATTCATCGCAAAAGATTCCAGGTTGGGTTAGTGATAATCTAAGACCCCTCGTTCACGAGCTTAGTCTCGAAGATAAAGTTATGGAATTCGATAAAAATTTTGCTAGAGAACATATATTAGAGACTTTGCAAGAGCTATTACCCCGGGATGAGATGGTTTCGAAAAACCAGGAAGTTACCCTACCTAATCAATCTGTTTATAGTCTACCAGCACATTCTGAAAATTTTATTTCGAGAAAAGGGATTGCAAAGCATTCAAGTAGTGCAGAAGTAGTACCATTATTCCAAGAAATGCCTCTAGCATCAGTGACTGTTCCTGGCGTTATTAACTCTCTAATGTCGCCGATGGTATTATATTCCATACTTGCTTTTCTACTGATTGTGATTATATGGTTTGTGGTCAGAAAATACTGGAATTCATCAAAAAAAAGTAATACTGACTATTCTCCTAACCGAAACTATTTTTATCCTCTCTGAGTATATCTGAGGCCGGGTTATATGATCGAAGGTCAGAAGTTCAAAGATAGAAATTAAAGTTAGCCAGTATTATTGCACGAGAAAAAATATATAAATTATATTATAAGTATTCTAGTAGAGGTGTGACAATTTCAGCTAAGAGTACTTATCCATATAATTCGATGATCTCGTCTATATCTGCTTCAGACGAATTATCGAAATACCTAGAAAGTTTATTGTAAAGTTTTTATATATTTTTTAAGCCATTTTTTTTGCGCAAGCATGATACAATATATGGAAATAATAAGTATAAAATTACATGTAAATTTCCCAAATCTTCAAAATAAAAATTTTGGACGAATACGCTTGCTAGCAAAATACTGGGTCAGTGGTAGTACCCAAAAGTAATTAATATAATAATGCCTAAAAATAATCAATGTAGTAGTACCCTAAAGTATCCCAGAGTAGTAACTATACGAGAAAGAATTCTAGAAAGGCTCAGGCGAAAACTAAGGTATAAATTTGGTAGTATCCAAAGGTAGAATTATATAGAAATAAAATAAGAAATTATGCTTTTGGATACTACCACCGATAGGCAGGAAAGAGATCAGGAAGGCAGAAAGATTCAGGAGAATACACGAAAAAAGGTATGAAAGCAATATAGCCTGAACTAATTCGGCATTTCGTGTCTCATCCTTGGCAATCAAAAGGGTCACAAAAGGCAGGATTACAAGAATGGCACAACACTAACACTTCGTATGTGTCTCCGGGCTCTTGACTGGTGATGGTATTCTGGAAATGTAAGATAGGGGCTAGTTTGGTAGGACGTAAAGGTAAAATTATATTAAGGTAAATGCCAAGAATTTTTACTTTTACATCCTACAGCCGATAGGCAGGAAAGAGATCGGAAAGGCAGAAAGATTCAGGAAAATATACGAAAAAAAGTATAAAAGCAATATAGCCTGTACTAATTTGGCACTTCGTGCCTCATCCTCGGCAATCAAAAGAGTCACAAAAGGCAGGATTGCAAGAATGGCACAACACTAACACTTTGTATGTGTCTTACCGGCAATCAAAAAGTGAGTGAATAGATTGCAACACATCTTTAGCAAATAGATGATGGATTGCAAATTCAGCACTTCGTGCCTCATCCAGCAATCAAGAGATTGGCAATTAAGAATTGAAAGTGACAGGAAAGTGCCTGGAAGTGGCAAGGAATCGAACATGTGATCATGACGCAGTAAGGCGCAGTAAATTTTGTTAATTTTGGCCAGCACTATTCCATAATTTTGGCCAGAACTTTGGGCATAAGAACTCAGCATCCAAGCTGGCATATAAGAGGTCTAAAACTGGCAAATTAATAGAACTACACTAGCATCTTGCCAGTTTCTCACCAGTTCCATGACAGTTTCAGATCACTACCATGGCACTATCATAATGTCGAGTTGGATTCTCAAATCACGTGTCCTAAAGATCGGTCGAAATTATGGCATAGTGTTAGCCGAAATTAAACGCAAATTTACTGTACCACCTGATGCGATATTTTTTTATCATATTTTGATGTCTAGAAGGCAAGCAAACAGGCGCACACCCCATCCATATTTACTAACCAACAGGTCACAGAGAGGAAAAATAGACCCCATCTTTAGGACGTATTAATTGATAGACTATAACATCCTAGAACATATTAATTGATAGATTATAATATCCTAGGACATATTAATTGATAGACTATAATATCCTAGGACATATTAATTGATAGATTATAATATCCTAGGACATATTAGTCTTGAACAAGTAGTATTCTAGGACATA